TGAAAACAGGAGGAACACCATGAGTCCGAGCTGCATAGGGAGACCCTGTACCAAATACTTGAAAAAAAAAAAAAAATCGGAAGCTTTCATTGGGCTTTCTAGAAGGCAGTGTATGTTCTGCTTTCTACACCGTAGTACATGATGGTAAATTGATTTTATAGTTCAGATAAAATGTACCCCAAAGTCTCCTGAGTTCGGGGGGGGGTGTTTTGGGAAGGTGACTGAATTATGACAGCTCTCTCGGTGGATTAATCCATAGATGAGATCGTAATCTGATGGCATTACTGGGCAATAAGGCAATTTAGGAAGTAAGGTTTAACTGAAGAGAGCGGACCATGGAGAGGAACTGGGGCCTGCATGCGGTCCCCGCCCCGTCCTGTCTAGCTGTCCTGTGCTGATTCCTGGCTGCCAGGCAGAGAGTAGCATTCTCCCTCCATGCCCTTCTGCCATGGTGTCTCTGCTTTGCCACGGGCCTAACCAAGGGAGTGGGAACCCTGGAGTGACACCGGAAACTAACTGTGAGCCTGAATAAATCTTTCCGCCTTCGAGCTATTTCTGGCGGATCTTGGTCGCAGTGATACCAAACTGCCTAGAATACTACGAATGTGCTTCTAAGACTACACCCAGGACAGCGCAGGCCCTGCCGGCCCTTCCTATACTTCACTGCCAGAAAGCAGGCCTCCTTTTCGTGTTCCGAACCTTGCTCTCCACAGTACTGCGCTTCTTCAATCAGGCTATTTTCTCCTCCTCCGAGGCAGAATGTAATTTTTGGAAGCAGCCGAGAGAGGCTGGTGCCGTCTGGTGAGTAAGACGGGTGGTAGGGCTAGCACTGTAGGTCAGAAAGCAGTAAGAAAACGGATTTCCTTGGGTGGCTCACCAGCCATGCCAAGCACGCTCTCAGCAACGGCAGGGACGCTGTTCGCGGGGTGGCGCCTCGGGAGGGAAGGCAGATACAGGGTGCGCCCTACGGCTTGTCACCAGGAAGGCCCTTACTTTAGGGAAGGCTTTTCAGATTTTTCTCTCAAGGGTGGCTGCCATAAATATGTTAAAAGAAAAACACGAATGCTCCCCTAAGATGCCCCAAAACCTCTGCCTCTGCCAAAATAAACTCTGAATTTGAAATTCAAAACACAATTTGTTTACCATTATTACAGAATGTGCTTGCAAGGCTGAGATGTTTATTTTTAATACCTTTGGCATTTACCCTTTAACCCCTTATTTGCTCTGTAAACAACAAGCCCAAGCAAGGATAGAAATAAAAATCTTAGGGGCTTGGGATGGAGATGGATGGCGGGGCGCTTTCCTTGCATAAGCAAGGTCCTGAGTCTGAACCCCATGGCCACAAATACACAAATTTTACACTTTTCATCACGTAATGGTAAAAACACAAATTATCACATCTTTATAAAAAAATAGAATGCTCAAACTTGAAAAATCAAGACTATATACAGTTCTACACATTCGAGCCACACCTCATTTGTAGTTTTGTTGGTTTTGTCTGGGTTTGGTTTTTAGATAAGGTTTCACTGTGCTGCCCAGGCTGGCCTTGAGCTGCTAAGCTCCAAGTGAGCCTCCCACCTCAACCTCTGCAGGAGCCGGACCCCTTGCCCTCATACAGAGGTGTCCGAATATGTGTCCTGGTGGAAGCTCACAACGGGGCTTTCACAAGTTCCTACCAAGCCCGATACCTGGTTCTCACCTCATCAGGAAATGCAAAGTACTTAACGGCTTCCTTTCACGAAGTCTCACCTGCGCTCAGAGCAAGCCGTGGCGGGGTACACACACAGTCACAAAACGCTTGCCGCTGTTCATGCTGCAGGCAGGCCCAGGGATGGGGAGCTGGCTTCGCAGGCTGTAGCCAGTTCTGAGCACCAGCAGCTGGGCGCAGACTTTCCCTGCTTTCCTACCTCAAAATGCACCGGATGCACCAGACTGTTCCCCCTTTCCAGGGAGTCCCAGTAACAAGCGTGGATGCTCCAGTAAGTGCCCCTGCAGTCACTGGGGATGCAGCTGAAGGTGAGATGGGCATTCTGCTGAGGGAACGGGAGGAGCTCCGTGGTCCATCAGACGCCACTCAGACCACCACAGTGCTGGTTATGAGCAGCCGCCCCGCTACAGATGCGTTTGGCTTTTCCTGTTGCAGAACACGCAGTCTGGGAGTGTGGTCAGTGGAGCCACTGCGCAGGGCCAGCACTCTGCATCTTCTCTCTACAGACCAACACTCCCCCTTGGGTCCTGGCCTCCGAGGGTGGTCCACTCACACTGACCCAGAGTGACAGCCTTGGCTCCAGAGCTTTTTGTAACCTTTGTCATCAACGAAACATGTGTGCTTCATCCAACTCCTCAGGTTGGCTCTGTGGCTTCTTTTGTTTGCCAGGCAACCTCCAGCAAGCTGATAAACTAATGAGTGGAAATGAACTAGGTTCTCTTCCTGACAGTCCTTCTTTTAATGGGTTCTGGACTTTCAAAATATGCTGTAGCCTCCGCCCTCAAGAGCCTCCCTACCTGGGATCAGTGATCCACCAGACTTCTACATTTATCCATCTCTTCCCATGCATAATATCTGCCATCTACTCACAAGAAATACTCAAGTAAGGAAAAGGGAACCGATCTCACACATTTTCTGAGGTAATGACCAATTCTGATTTACTCAAATATTTCTGCATACTTAACTCACAGTTATCTTATGAATCACAGTTTCCGGGAACAGAGCACACAGCAGACCTACAGATAAGTTTCTGTCCACTGACAATCTAAACTGGCCATGGCCACGAAAGTGGACCTTCCTTTGCAGATGATGAGAAAAGCCAGATTTTACAAAGGAAACTCAGTGTGTACTGGTATCAGTTAAAGTCCAGGCCTTCTGCACCCTCCTAAACATTCACCAAATTGTGAAAACATACAGAGATTTAAAATTAAAAAAAAAGAAAAAAATCTACAGGGCCGGGAAGATGGCTCAGTAGAACAAGTGCTTGCCTGGCAAGCACAAGGGTCTGAGTTCAATCCCTGATTCCACCCCCCCCCAAAAAAAAAATCTTTAAGCCTACTAAGGAACAAGAGTCAACTATCACCTGTTCATGTTCTAGTTTTCCCAGGATGAGCAAGTGTTCCAAGGCGGGTTTTTGGGAGAATAATATGAAGTGAACTACTGTATACTGTGTTCATGAGTCAGAGGACAACCCTGTGCATGAGTCACAACTAAGTCCAGAGAGGACCATGGGTACAAGTGGAGAGCCTTCCTGAAAGAGTGCGCGCGCACACACACGTCCACTGCATAGGTGTCCCTGCTACAGCCTAAGGACCTCTGCTCCTGCTGTTTGTTGGACACACCCAGGACGGAACCTTGCTGTCCCTTCCCTTCCAGCTCTGAGAAACTGAGGAATACACACCTGGGCAGGCCCAGACAGGTGTGGGACTCCAAGGGAGGCTTCACTTGGCTGAATGGACTATTATATAAGCATTGAATATCATAACAGGCGTTTCTAATTATGTAAGGCATTTGCTCCCTTGTAAGGCAACTGAACATATCTAATGAATAGAATTTTTCAAGTCGGGGAAGAAATGATTCATTTCATTTTGGCCAAATTACTGAGGATCTGAGAGATCTATCAGTGGCACAGGTCCTAGTTCAGGACAGCCAGATGTTTCAACTCTTCCACCAGGAAACTGTGGCCTGGGGAACCGTGTCTGATGGCAGATAGTCTCCCGGTGCCCAAAACATCTCCATCTGTCCTGATGGCAGGAAGCCTGTGGACAGGTAAGTCACACCTGTCCTGCGGGAAGTCAGTTCTGGAAGGCCTAGGATAGGACCTCTCCGCAAGCATTCAACCAAACCCTAACTGGGGAGGGGTGCGGGTGAATCGACCGCGGAGTTGGCAGGTCTCCAGAAACAGTCATCCTCGGTTACTTTTTAAGCTGCCCAGCAAGAGTTGGGCAGTTTAAGAAGGGAAAGTTCATTTGCTCACGGTAACACTCAAGTAGCTACACTTGGTAAGATTCCTTAAATCTTGATACACACATCTCTTCCTTTCCTCCTTCCTTCCAAACGCTGAACCGCAGAAAACAGCAATTCTAACGAGCTAGGACCATCGTGTTACCTACACTAGGGTGGGTGGGCAGGTGCCCCGTGAAGCCCCCACTCAGAAGCACTCTCAATGTAAATGGTGCTCTGTGGGGTTCAAAAAATAACGTGAGGTAGGCTGATGTCTTAACCCTTAACATTGGAGAAGGAAGTTTATTTATAGATGAAGCATTCTCTTAGCAGGGGCAAAGGTGACATAATTTTGGACTTCATAAAAAGTAAACGCTTTGATCAAGAATGTCTTTTAAAGGTTTTGTTTGTTTTCAAACATGCTTTTACATAAGTACACAGCGCCGGGTCCTGGGCTGCATCCGGGCGGGCTGGGACGTGGGTTGCCTGGCCTCTGCTGGGTCTGGCAGACTGGGCCGGCGGGTTAGGGGTTCTCATGGGTGTCTTTCGGTCCTTAAATGCCAGCGGCCCAGAAGGGGACGCGTCCGCCCACCTGGGCGGGAGTAGTCGTGGTAAACAAACAAGGCTGGAAACTAGAAACCCTGTAGAACTTTCCCTCCAGCGCTCCCGACGGGAGCCAAGCTCCGGGAAGCAGAGTCCGCGGCGCTTTTGTGGAAGGAAACGACGCCACCGGGAGCCCGCGGGCTGCGCCGAGCTTGGCGCGGGAGGGGGTGCGGCCGGCTGCGGTCTCGGACCGCGACAAAGTCACCGGCGGCTGGGAGGCGGCGGCGGCCGGGTCCTGCGCCCAGGTGCCCATCCCGGCGCCCGCACGCGCCGTCGGGGCCCCGCCAGGTGCGGCCCCACCTGCGCCCCGGGGACCGATGCGCCCCAGCTCGCCCCAGCAGGCAGCCGCCGCAGAAAGTTTCGGGGAGTGCAGCAAAGTTTCCCGCGGCCCCTCGATCCTTCCCCCGACCTCGACCACACCAGCGGGGAGCCCCGCGCCTTGCTCCCCCGGCCCGGCCAGACTCACCATGGTGACCGCGCCTCCGCCCGGCCGGCCCGGCCGCCTGCGAGCGAGCGAGCGAGCGAGCCGGGGCTGGACCTCAGTCTCCGGGGCAAACTTCAAAAGTTGGTTCCAGTCGCCAAAAGCGGCTCCCGACGCCCAAGCGCTCCCAGGAGCCAATGGGAACCCAGGAGGACCCCACGCGCGGGGATCGGCGCTCTGCGAGGGCGACGCCCCGGCTCGGCGCAGATCCGCACCCGTGCGCTCGGCCTCGCGTCGGGCGCCCAACTCCGCGCTGCGCCCAGGTCCCCGCCGCGCTGCCCTCAGTGAGCTCGGCCGCTCGGCTGCGCTCGGCCCGGCCCGGAGACCTGGCCATAAATGGAGAAGTCGGCGTGCGCCTGGCCAATCAGCGCGCGGGCCGCGGCGTCACCGCCCACTGCGCGGTGCGGCAGGGCGCAGCGCCCGCTGGGATTTGTAGTCCGCGAGCCCCGCTGCAGGACACCGCCCCCCGGGCAGAGACCACCAAGTCCCCGACCTAGTCATGGGGTTTGCCTGCAACCTCCTTATTTATTTATTTATTTATTTATTTATTTATTTATTT